ACATGTCGTGAGTCAGTCAAGTTTGAAGTCAATTTTCAGTAAAACCGAAAGTGAAATGCCGCAGGTTTTCGAGAAGGAAGGAGGCTGAACGGTAACATTAACAAGCATTTATAAAGAAGCTATGTGACGCGATATGTGGAGCATATAATGTTAATTGGATTATTTGTTTATTTTTTTAAAGCATTTATAAGTATGCAGCACATCAGCGAATGTGTTTGAAATCAGTAATTCCTAAATTATGCTAAGGATTATTATGTCTGCGTTTCCTGTAATTGTAACCATTGTTTGGTAGGCTACCACGTATTCCACTAAAGATTCAATTACAACTGACTATTTAATTGCAGTACAGTAACACCCTCCATTTAGGCAGTATATCGAATTTGATCTTTTAATAGCACTGTCTTAATACATGAAGCCATATTAAGTGTTTATGGTTTTCTTCGGGAGGAAAACGCTTAACGAGAGATGCATTGTGTTCATATTCTGCTGTTCTGTGGCCATAGATTTGCGGGTCTTGTCTTTTTCTCCTACAGGTGTCTTGCAGGACCCTGTACTTTAAGGTACTAAATTAGTTTTCACCGTTTAACCACCACAGAGTCTCCATTGGCAACACGCATGATTTGTGTCGATTGCTAGTGACGTCGCGGAGACTGCAGGTGGCGATTGCAAGTGACATTGTAATTTTGTTTCTTTTTTTTCTTGTGTTCACCACCTGGCTACTTTTGTAAAATGTTGAGAGAATAAATAAATAAAAGATTGCAAGTGACGTCACTTGCAGAAGCACAGGTGTATGTCTGTCTGCAGCCAGACTCTAACTTTACCTGCCTTTACAGAACACAAATAGACAAAAATGTGTCACATTATTTGTAAATATTAGTACCATTACTGGACTGTGTCGTTTCCTCGGTCTCTGTTCTCATGTATTTCACAAAGTTTAAAAGTGTTTTTAACGTTATGCCTCGCAAGCCACGCCCACAATATTTGAGACATTTGTTTCAATGGAAACAGATTTTGACACTTTTAATCATTTGAGCACATTATATGAAGTTAATTTTGTTTCTTTGCAGCGCTATTGTATAGGCCTAGGCAGATTTTTTAAACTATATTTATGGCTTATTTACATTTTGAGGTGAGCAGCAGTATCACTGCAGTTATAAACTTAGAAAGTGACATGTAAAGTGACTGTTTGATTATTCTGCTTATCCTTTACAAACATTGAAGGGAAATACTGTACTTAAGGCTTTTGCATCTCCAGTGTTTATACTGTAACTTGATTACGAACAATAATAAACAATAGATAAATTAATAAGACTTGTTAATAACAGAAAGTAGAATGTAGGACTTGTTAATAAAGAAAGGATGCTGCAATTTTTGTCAAGCAAAAGCTGATATGGACCTACATTTTTAAAAATAAATAATATTTTGTTATTTTTGATTGGAACGCATGACAGTTCACTACAGAGTCAGACACATATCTACCTATGATACGTGTTGCAAAGAAAATACTTAAAATTTTACTTAAATGTGCGACAAGTTTAATCCACTGAAAGGAATGTCCCATGTTATCGTGGGCGTCTTTGCGAAAAGAGTATGATCAACTTTAAAAGGCGTGAAATATGCAGGAACAGAAATCATAAAATGGTATAAAAACACTGGTTTAAAATCAACTCAATTTGGGTTGTTTTCAGCCCAGCTGCTGGGTAAATAAATATAGGACAGAAAACATGTTGGTCTATATCCGTAACGTCTCCGTTCCCTCCTTCAGGGAACGAGGGTTACACAAGTAACCTAGACGTTCTCTCTTCTGATGTTGTGGTTGTGCAGAAAAAATAAAATGCTGCTCAGTGAAACAGGTGTACAATGTGTGAGGAGAGCTATTTGATTGTTTTCTAGTAAATGAGAAGTAATTGCAGTGCTCTGGTTAACCTGAGTTAGTAGAGTTAGTCACCATAGAGGTAGAAACGGTGAATGCAGTTTACAGGTTTCGTAGACAGAGAACGAAGTGCGCCATATCAGTCGCTCAACACAAAAGGCTATGATTTCAATGAATAAATGAGCGCTGCACGTTTCAACGTCAGGGAAACGCTATATTTCTGCTGTTCCAAAAGCTCCACCTACTGTCAGAGAATGAATGGAGCGTCAAACCCTTGTAAAATGTCCCTTTTTACCACAGCAACTATAGCAGCAGGGCAATTTGAAGCATTAGCGATATGCGAGCTGGACCTGCAACAAAAGCAATTACAATTGACCTGTGCATTATACTCCAATCGTGTTCTACTCAGTGCTTTTCTATAGAATTTCAGATTATGTTGTCGTGCCCCGTGCTGATCTGGTTTGATCTTGTGCACTGATGCCACCTCCAGTGTTTGCACGTGCCTCACAGCAGTCTCCATTTGGCCCGCTAAGAGCATTGCAACCTTCAACGTAAGCTGTGGCTGTAGCAAAATAATCACTTTCGAATGGGTGCAGAGGATGGGTGCTTTTTCCACCAGGTGATCCTGTATCATCTCGTCTGTATGATCACCAGACTTACAATGTACTCTCGATTCATATAATGCTGATTCATCAGGCCTTTGAGCACGTTGTCTGAATTGGTGACATTTAACAACAACATTTGTAGCAGGCTGAAAATGTTCCTCTAATGTTTTGAAAGTGTCCTCAACAGTCTGTCCTGTATTTGGTAGAGTGTAAAAAATCTTTTAACCCCTCGGCTCCCAGACACTCTAGTAGGAAGGCTCGTTTTTGTCTCCAGTGGCATCGATGGTGACAAGATAATTCTCAGTATGAATCTGTACCGGGGACTGACCCGGGCATGACAAAAAACAAAGTAGGTGTAGGTAAACTGAGTGCTGCCATCCCTGTCCCCAAATGTTGTGCCGTACACTTTATTAAAATGGTAAAGAAAAAGCTGTAACTAGAGTTGTGCTCACTCAAACCCATGCTCTGTTTTATTCACCTATTCCTGAGTCCCCACCTCGAGCTCACCTAGTGCAGAGCAATTGAACATATAACAAATCTTAAATTTGTTCTAGTCAAGTGTCATTATTGTTCTAGTCAAGTTCTCTCCAGAGTTGCCAAGTCCACGTATTTTACATGACTTTGGGCTTTATTTTTTGTTAAGTCACATTAAAAAATCACGGGTTGTGGTTTTTGGGGGTTATTTAAAAAAATATGATTGCTTGTTAAAAAAACCTTTGTTTCTTTACATTTATGGTCACTGTCTTTTCCAATATATTGTTGACACTGTCTGCTCGCAGCTAATAGCCAATAAGTGCAGTAATAAAAGTGCTGTAGCGTGATTCATCATCTCACATCGTGCCCTCTCCTCCCCTTCATTGGAGTAAAATTACATTTAACGTGCTGACATGTGATGTTGTAATCCAAGCGATGATAGTTAATAGATGTAAAAAGACAAACAACGGCACCGAAAGAGATGTATAGAGGTGGAGAGGAAACATGGGAGGTGGTGAAGGGTGCAGGGGAGGAAATGGACCTAATTCAATTTGTAAAATATTTTTATAATGCATTAATCATTAAATCTATGAATAAACAAGCAGTAATACTTATAGTAGTTGTTCAAGTTTATTTTATTATAAATATGTGGCTATATTAAAGCTTCCCCTTAGTGCTCTTATCTTATTTTCCTTTTCCATCTCCAAAACTATTCTGCTCGCAGCTGATTGGAAGATAGTTTTGCCCTCCTACTTTGCTGCAGTTTGATGATTTTTGTAAAATAACTTTTGTTTTTGTTCTTCAAACTCAGTTTCAGTTGCAGACTCATTTATTGATAATACACAATTGATAATTAATATTGATGATGATAAATATTATTCTATACTAGTCACCATCCTGACTAGAACTGGAGTAGGCGAAGAGTCCTTCAGTTTCCTGGGCTCTACCATCTCACATGACCTGAAGCGGGAGACCCACATAGACTCCATTGTGAAAATAGGCCCAGCAGAGACTGTACTTCCTGTGCCATATTGAGGAAGTTCAACCTGCCATAGGAACTGCTGAAACCGTTCTACTCGCTGGTAATCCAGTGTGGTCTGTGCACTTCAAAAACTGTAATAACTTTCTGGTTTGGTTCAGCTAACAGAAAAGCTACTAGTGCTCCCCTGCCCTCCCTAAAGGACCTGTACCTCTTACAGAGTGAGGAAATGGGCAAGAAAAATAATTTCAGACCCCTTGTACCCAAGTCACAAATTCTTTGAACTGTTGCTCTCTGGTGCTAAAGAGCACTGAGCACCAGAACATCCAGGCACAAGAGCACCCTGGCCATGTCCCTCATGAATAAATGCGCCATAAAGCTGATTTGAAACAATATTTTTGTAAAAAGTGCTTTACAAATAAATTTGACAATTAATTGCCTCCATCATCCAGCCTAGTGCATTTTTTTTTGCTGTGGATATAATTTCTTGTTCATGATAGAAATTCTCTCCTATTTATTCTATTACCTGTATATCTATTACCTTCTGCCATTGTTTTACCTATTGCATAGTTCTGCATATCATCTGTACCATGTCTTTTCTGTCTTCTGTCAGCATTATTGTGCCTTCTATAAATGTGTATTGCTCTTATTTGCATATGTACTAGAAGCTTTACTTACCCAAGTCATATTGCTTGTGTGTGAGCATACAAAGTGAGAAAGCTGTTCTACCTGTACAACAGGTTATCCACATACATAGTTTAGCTCCAGCCAACATTTTGAGATTGTCCAGCTGTGACACGTTTTGTGTAAGCTCAATTCCTGAACCAAAATCAGTGTTTCAGATAAGTTCTGTTTTCAGTTTTAATGTCAGTTCAGGTTGCATAATGCTTAGTAATGCATTAAATATTTATGAATTTGCAGCCCAATAACTTTCCCTGGAGGGAGAGAAAATCGGTGCTGCTTCTAAAATGAACCTCAGTCAGGACAGAGGGGAAAGGGACACTGTCTCTAAAATGAAGAAAAGAGAGGATGGTCATGCTGTTCAAAGAGAGACAGCAGCATCTCCAGAACCCAGTTGTGTGTCTATTAACAGTAATAAATCAATGACTCGAAATCCACCTGATCTCAGAGAATCAGTGACCTCTGACCCAGTGTGAGTATAACATGCCTGTGAAGAGCAGCTTTGTGTGCTTTTCAGATGAAATCACTAGTGCAATAGTAAAAATTAACATTGTTAATTAGTGTGGTCAAAATGTGTTTATTCTTTTTTTGAATTTAAGTCAGGCACCAAGTCATCACAAAAGTTCTAGTAAGGTATCCTCTCCATTTGTAAAATCAGAGGACAGCTCTGTACAATTTGTATTATGTTTATATATTAGCATTATATATCACATACTATATATTAACATATTTTTTATCTCATTCATTTTGAGATGTTAAAATGTCATTACACAATATTGCATATAATTGTAAGTATATCTTATATTCCTTGAATGCCTGCTATGCATCATTACATTATGTAAGAAACCAAATTGGTGAGGAACTCCATTCTTTACATCAGAAAAAGACAGTTAAAGATCAGTCAGTAAAAGGATTGTGACAGTAGCTACTTGCATGTTTTATCTAAAAGAGAGTAAATTAAACACTTTAATGTGGTGTCACTTCAAATAAGAGCACTTACTATGTGGTACTTTTCTCCTCATTTCAGCAATGTGGAAAGAGATGGTCAGACTGGAGATCTGCAACAGGATTCACACCAACCAGTGGATAATGTTCTGCAGAAAGTCAAAGAGACTCACAAAACCAGCATGAAGACAAATTACGAGAGCTTATTTGATGGAATCAAACTACAAGAGAATCAAACCCTCCTGCACAGGATTTACACACAGCTCTACATCATAGAGGGAGAGAATGAATGGGTGAATGAAGAACATGAGGTTTCACATATGGAGAAAACACCCAGAACGCAACACTTACAAGACACTCCAATCAACTGCAATGATATCTTTGATCTCTTACCTGAACCAAGATATAAGACAAATAAAAGAATGAGGAAAGAAGAAATAAAGACTGTTCTTACTAAAGGGATTGCTGGAATTGGGAAAACGGTCTCTGTGCAAAAGTTCATTCTGGATTGGGCTGAGGGAAAAGCCAATCAGGATGTAGATTTCATGTTTGTGTTTTCATTCCGAGAGCTGAACTTGATTAAAGATGAGCAGTACAGTCTTCACAGACTTCTGCTTGACTTTCATCCTGAACTTCGAGATCTGGATTCAACGATTTATGAGAAGTGTAAAGTTGTGTTCATCTTTGATGGTCTGGATGAAAGCAGAAGTACACTGATGTTTTTAGACAGTCAGAAAGTTTCTGATGTGACTGAGGCTTCATCAGTGGGTGTGTTGATGACAAACCTCATCACAGGAGAGCTGCTTCCATCTGCTCTCATCTGGATCACCTCCAGACCAGCAGCAGCCAATCAGATCCCCTCTAAATTCATCAAGCGTCTGACAGAAATTCAGGGGTTCACTGACCCTCAGAAGGAGGAATATTTCAGGAAGAGAATCAGTGATCAGCATGAAGCTAGCAGAATCATCTCGCACATTAGAGGAGCAAGAAGCCTCCATATCATGTGCCACATACCAGTCTTCTGTTGGATCTCAGCCACTGTGCTTCAAAACATTCTCAAACAAGATCACAGAGCAGAAATCCCTAAAACTCTGACTGAAATGTACATCCACTTCCTGCTAATTCAGATCAACACAAGGAATCAGAAGTATGATGAGAGAGATCCAGAAAAACTCCTGCAGTCCAACAGAGAAGTGATTGTGAAACTTGCTGAACTGGCTTTCAAACAGCTACTGAATGGTAATGTCATGTTCTATGAGGAGGACCTTAGAGAGTGTGGCATAGACGTCACGGAGGCCTCAGTGTATTCTGGGATTTGCACTGAGATCTTTAAGGAGGAATCTGTCATTCATCAGAGGAAAGTCTACTGCTTTGTACATCTGAGCTTTCAGGAGTTTCTGGCTGCTTTCTATGTGTTTTACTTCTATATGAGTAGCGCTACAGAAACACTATTTGATTCACTGTATGATCTGCATAAAAGAGTAGTCAAAAAAGCTCTAATGAGCAAGAGTGGAGGCATGGATCTTTTTCTGCGATTCCTGCTGGGCATTTCACTGGAATCCTGTCAGATACTCTTACAAGATCTACTGACACACACAGAGAACAGCTCAGAGACCATCAGGAAAACCACACAGTACATCAAAAACAAAATCATAAGTGACAAAAATATCTCAGCTGACAGATCCATCAATCTGTTCCTCTGTCTGCTTGAAGTGAATGATCAGACTCTGTTCAGAGAGATTCAGGAGTTTCTGAAATCAGAGAAACACTTTGTGAATAAACTCTCTGCTGCTCACTGCTCAGCAATAGCCTACATGCTTCAGATATCAGAAGAGGTGCTGGATGTGCTGGACTTAAAGAAATACAACACAACAGAGGAGGGCAGAAGAAGACTTATACCAGCTGTGGTCAACTGCAGAAAGGCTCTGTGAGTATTATGCTGACAAAAGTATTATTTTTACAAAACTAATTTATTTGAGAGTTAAATTATGTAAATAATTGTTTTTAAAAAGTTGAAAAGTGTTTCCACACCTGTTCATCAGTAATCAATGTATATGACGTAGTTTTTTTTTGTTTGTTTTTTACAAATTTCAGCTGTTCTTATACATTTTGGCATGGTACTGTCAGATGTGGCAGACTCTCAACTAAGGTGGTATTTAAAAATGCTTACAGACTAATCCTGGCTAAACCAAAATGTTACCATTAATCTAGGCTCAAGCCAGGCATACACTGTGCAATTTCAGCAATGTTTTTGTTAAATACCAACTCTTACTGTACGAGTAAGCCGCATGCGATCGAAAGCCAAATTTATGTGCTCACACTATATGGTCCAATCGTCGAGCTGTGGCTTGACTGCTCACACCATACATGTAAAATAAACATGTGGGACCTCCCAAATTTGGAAGTGTGTATCCTCCATCAGCAAGGAATACTCCCTAATATGATATTAGTTTAGAGGGAGAAAAACTTTGGAAGAAACCAGAGTCAGCAGGGGAGGCCCATCCTCCTCTGGGAACAGACATTACAATAATTGTATATATTCCATGATTTATCCTGTTATGTAAGGTGGAGAAAACTCCATATGTGTTGGGTCCCCACTATGATAACAGTAACTTTCTCCACTGTGCCTGAGCTTACTCTACATCTATTGTTAAGTAATAGAAAGTCTAAGGCTTTAAATTCAATGAGTTTACTTTCTTTTTTTTGTAAAGATCAATAATATCAGAAAGGCAATCAGCATATCCTTATGTTGCACTGAGGTCAGACAGACTCGATCAAAACTTCAGAAATTAGTTACTATGTCTGATTTCGAGGCAGTTGATGTTGAAAGAAACTATACAGCATCTTAAAACATTAAGCTGCTCCCTTGACACACTCCTCACATTTTTTTGTCTTACAAAACTGTGTTTAACTGTTTAGAATCAGATCTCCTGGAAGTGGTAAATGCCTCACTTCTTTCTGGGACTTTTCCAAAGTCCCTGAAAACTGCAGTTAAGTCCCTCCTAAAAAAGAGCAATCTAAATAACACCATATTGAGCAACTACAGACCAAACTCAAAGCTTCCTTTCATTGGCAAGATTATTAAAAAAGTTGTTTTCAGTCACCTGAACAAATTCTTAAGCTTGAATGGATGCTTGGACAATTTTCAGTGTGGTTTCAGACCACATCATAGTACAGAGACATAAACATGATAAATGCCTAAATACAGATACTGGCAAAATATCAGTGCTTGTACGACTTGATCTCAGTGCTGCATTTGACACTGCCAATCACAACATACTTCTTGACAGGCTGGAAAACGTTGTAGGGCTTTCCTCAAATGGTTCAGGTCATACTTAGAAGGGAGGGGTTACTATGTGAACCTCGGTGACCATAAGTAGTCATCCATGACATGCAGAGTCCCACAAGGCTTAATTCTTGCACCACTTTTGCTGAACTTGTATATGGTCTCACTGACCCAAATAATGAGAAATAACCAAATTACTTGCCACAGCTATGAAGTTGACACACAGATCTACTTAGCCCTATCGCTCAGTGACCACAGCCCCATTGATTCCCAGATGAAATTAACAGTTGGATGTGCCAAAACTTTCTTCAGTTAAACAAAGACAAACCTGAAGTCATTGTATTTGGAAAAAAGATGAACTGCTCGAGGTGAACGAATACCTTGACTATAGGGTTCAACAAACAAACAAAAATCAAGTCAGGAATCTTGGTGTGATTCTGGGTCTTTAACTCCTGTGTAAGTCTTGGCTGAGAATTGTAGTAATGTCTAGCATGAGAGACTGTGCTGCCCCTGTGTCTCTCAATATGATGATATTTCTAGATTTTGAAATCTTAGCGAGCATAACTGAACCTAACAGCATGAGTGGTTTATAAACGGAGGATTGAGGAAACGGAGAATCTGACACAGGTTAAACATTAGCAAAACTTATGGGTTAAGAATTGGAATTCTTTTGATTCTGGGCAGCACAATTAATAATAATAGAATAATATAAAATAATAGAAACACTTGCCATTTGCATGAGTGGCTTTGGTTGTTGATGTTGTAAAGCTTACAACAGAAAAGCTGTAATAAAAAAAGCTGTAAGCTGTTTTTCTAGCTGTAAAATAATTTGAATTGTTGTTTATCACTGACTGTTTTTTTTTTTGTTATTTATTAGACTCAATTGAAATTTTTACTCTTTTTTTACTTACATTTTTTTTTTTAATCCTTTACAGTCTTGCTGGTTGTAATCTCACTGATTACAAAATTGTGGTCTCAGCTCTCCAGTCATCAGACTCACCCTTGAGAGAGCTGGACCTGAGTAACAATGACTTGCAAGATTCAGGAGTGAAGCTGCTCTCTGAAGGACTCAAGAGTCCAAACTGCAGACTGGAGATACTGAGGTGAGTTTAATATTCAGGTTACTTTTATAAATTAATTTAATTAAAGGTAATTGAGTCATCAGCATCCCAACGTTTAGTGGATTAAGGCTCTTGCTAGTGTTATTTGTGTTCTTGTTAATAGTAATTCATAATTTTTCTCCGGTAAGACAAGCGATGCATTCTCAGATGTCATGGCCTATATATACCCTTTCATCAGAACATAAGTTCCCTGAATGATTTGTTAAATTTTTTATTTTTTCTCCCTGCGTGAATCAGCGGACGTGCAATCTATCTCCAGTGTTGGGGGTAACTCATTACAAGTAATGCGAGTTACATAATCAGATTACTTTTTTCAAGTAACAAGTAAAGTAACGCATTACTTTTTTAATTTACAAGAAAATATCTGAGTTACTTTTTCAAAAAAGTAATGCCAGTTACTTTGTTTTCCCATTTATTGACTGACAAGTCTCCTGTCCCCATTTTGGGAGAAATCGGAAGTGCAGAGGAATTGTGTGCGCTGTGTGAACATGATGCAACTGTAGTTCTAGACTATCAACACGAGGTGATGGTCGTGGATGAATGGCACAACAATGGGCCTCAGGATCTCGTCATGGTATCTCAAAATTCAAAATGCCATCAATAAAATGCACCACCCTCCCTCAAAATTTGCGACATCTGTGGCATTGTGCTGTGTGATAAAACTGCACATTTTAGAGTGGCCTTTTATTGTGGCCAGCCTAAGGCACACCTGTGCAATAATCAGTGTTGGGGAGTAACTAGTTACATGTAACGGAATTACGTAATTTAATTAAAAAATAAAAGTAATTGTAATCAGTTACAGTTACTGAGAAAAAACATGTAATTAAATTACAGTTACTTATGAAAATGTTAAGGATTACAAAGGGGGTTACATCTGCTTTTTTTCACACACACTCCCACATACAGATATAATTGATTTCTTTCATAAATTGCAGTGACTGCTCTAAAATATGAAATACCAATGTTTCAGGAGTTTAGAACAAGCTTATTCGATAACTCTTTTATTTCCTATATGGGTTTATGTAGCTATGATTCATTTTTTAAAGATGAACTGTTTTTTTCCAAGGCATTGTTAGATTCCAGTGTTTACTGTCATAGCTATGTAAAGATGTGATTCCAAAAACAGTATCATAGCTAATAAAATATTTCTTGTTGTGATCTTAAAGGGGTGGTTGATTGCGATTTCCCTTTTTTAATGTTAGTTAGTGTGTAATGTTGCTGTTTGATCATAAACAATATCTGCAAAGTTACGAAGCTGAAAGTTCAATGCAAACGGAGATATCGTCTTTTAAAATTCTGGCAGTTTTAATGCCTACAAAAACGACTGGTAAGGGACTACAATGAGTTACTTCCCGGGTCCGTTACATCAAGACCCCAGAATTTTACATAAACCCCGCCTCAGGGAACACGCAGCAAAGAGGGCAGGCCATGCTGTGCTGCTTTAGAGAAGAGGAAGAGAAAACTAGAGGTGCATGTAAAAATCTATTCATATATGAATCACGAATCTGTCTTCTAATGATTCTAATGGATTCACAAGTTTGTGAATGTTCTAAAGCAGCGGTTCTTAATACTGTTCCTCACGTCCCCTGCACTGCACACGCTCTACATCTCTCTCTCTCTCTATCTCTCTCATTCAGATCATCAGCTCAGTGAATACACTTATTTTCACATACTATAGCTATGAGAAGCGTTATACATGGACGCCTGTGCGGTTGCCGAACTGTATTAAATCTTTAATCAGAATAAAACCATATATTAAAAGCTAACAGAAGCAGTAGCATTTACAAATAACAGCGTATCTAAAAGTATGAGACAACAACAAACAAAAATCTTAGGCCTACCATTAAAAGCCGTGCTTGCACAGGTTCTGCGCAATCCTCTTCAATAATATCCTCTGCGTCTCAATCGGGCTCAAATTGATAAGCAATATAGACTACGTCATTGTTTACAATACAACCGGAGCACATGCCGCTATGTTGAGGGGTGGGACGCTTAGACGCGCGCTAGAGGCGGTTTAGCCAATCACAACACACTGGGCCAGCTAATCAATCAGAGCCCATCGTGTATTTCTGAGGGAGGGGCTTCATAAAAGCAGGAAATGATCAGCGCGTTCAGAGGAGAAGGGACAGAGCGATGTGGAATAAAGGTAAATTATGTGAAAAATAATGCGTTTTTTAACAAACGAAGCATTAACACATGTTAGACTGTACCCCATAAACACAATCAAGCCTAGAAAAAACCCAGTCAACAACCCCTTTAAATATGTATTTAACCTCAGTATGATCTCAAAGTAAGTCAGATTTTGTGGTGGCTGTGCTTCAAAGGGGACATTGATCTTCCACAAGTTGGTATGATTCTTTAGGGCCTTCATGAACGGTCTGCAACGTACTTTGGTTAAAATTCCTCAGTGGTCGTGTAAAACAACACCCCTTTTACCTTGCTCTGCTCACAGCGACTCATTTTGGGGCATGTCCCTTTAAATGCTAATGAGCTCTGCTCACCCGCCCCTTTCTTCTGTGGCAGAGCAAAAGCGATTTGCAAATAATCATAAAAAAATATAAAGTGTCAGACTGACTTCTTCTGGAGGTGCAGCTGGATCACAAACAATGGGTATTATTGATCTATCCTTGAGTTTGAACTTTTTAACAAAACCTGCCTTGAATTGTCCCTCATTCAGAAAGCAGTCTGGAGTAAAATTATTTGCGCAGACATAAACGAATTTAGGTGTATTCAGTGGCGCATTACCATTAAAAACAAAACTAATGCACTGCGTCCTCAGTGGTT